ATACCAGACGTACACGAGGCGGTGGCTGGACCGTAGTCCGTTCCTCACAGAAGCGTGACCTTGGGTTTGTGGTACAAGACGACCTCGGCTGTTCATCGCAGCCTTTGATGGATTCCAAAACCGCTAACCAACAAGTTGGTCTCTTACGGAGGGCGTTCGGGCGATCTGACCTCTCTATTTTCCCCCAAACGCTCAATGCGTATGTAAGGCTCCATGTGGAGTACGCGATTCAGGCCTGGCAATCTTGGTTAAAACACGATCTGTTTGCAGTGGATATCGCGCCGGAAATAACAACCAAGAATGTGAAGAGAATGCTCTAGCTGCCGTACCATCTGCAACTGAAAACTTTATGAGGGTACAGCAGAACTTATCGCCGTCTAAGGAGCGACCTTATTCTGCCTTTCCAGATCTTAAAATATCCCGACCAAGATTGTCGCCACCACCTGAACTTAACCTGCAACACAAAATTGAGTGTCACAACCTGAAACTAGCTACGCAACACAGTCAGCTGGGATGCCGTCAGAACTATTTTTCTCTTCAAACTCGTCATCCCTGGAATGCCCTTTCGACTTTTGTCATTTCGGCGTCCACGTTACCTGTTTTAAAAAGAAACGACTCGAGGAAGCATTACAACATCTGCATGACCTGATTTGATTTCCGTTCACTTATTGACAACAGAACGCAAATATTGTGCTCTCCAGCCATCACGAAATCGGTTCAAACGAAAACATTTGCATGTGGAAACCAATACACATGTGTTTTCGAACATAACTTGAATTACAGCGGATGTATACTGACTAATACCACGATGAGTCTACTGGTGTGAACCTTAATTAGCTGACAATATATCTTATATTTTGAATTTTTCCCCATAATCATCCTACGGGACCTGTTGAGCTACAACATTTTTACCCGTATACAACTGTTGTTTATATCAGTCAACCAGCCACTGCACTGCATTAGTATTTTAACCGTGGATCCAGCCGGCACGGCTACTTTCAGGATGGTCGTTTGATGATTTGATAAATTATTTTTCAGACTATGACTGTAAACACAGCGTAGACATTGTCATTCTCCTAAAAGTCTTCGAAAAGTTCGGCCACATCCACACAAATATGTTGTTTGACTTGTTGCAGAAGGGAACTCAGTGGAGTTCCGAGTGCTTACGTGTATTGTGGTTTTTACTGGAGTATGGCAAATCCGAAACCGGATGTCGCTAATCATGGCATGATTAATGCTCAATGTGTTTTTGCTCGCATCGTGATTACTACAGGCTAGGAACACTAATATATTAGCTCGAAATTCAAACACTGTTACAATTGCTACTTAAAAGTTACTGACAAAAGTCATACTCCGGATTTTCCTGGTTGAGCGTGCAAAAGTCAAATAACTCAAGTTGCGGATGCGATGGTGGGTTCAAAATCTAATTGAATACTATGCAGACATCACGCGTCCCTGGACTGGCTTTGGTTTCCTCTTTATTTTAGTGCTGAAAATTCTCAGCAGGTGATAATAGATAGAGTATCTTCCGATTTATGAATCCAATGTGCTTACCTAAATGTATACTCAGATGGGTTGTGGTCTTGGAGACAAACTGCCATATAAAGTTGCTCCGCCAATTTCAGTGCCCCGGATTTGCAATCTTGGGAGGATCTGAACAGGTCTTTGTTGGAGAAGGCCGTCGAAACATGTGCTCTGGGAGCAGAGGTTGTTCACGCACTGCATCACAGTCTTCATCAAGCGGCCAATCGAATGGGTGCGAAAGCCGATCGCGTGGCTGATGCAGTCCGGTTGCGTATTCATGAAACTGAAAGGGCCATACGCGAGTTAGATTATCAGTACCAAGCGGTAAGTGAGAAGACGAGCTGTTATTCTGCCCCCTGTTGAATTTACATAGAGACTCAATTGATTTGAATAACTTACTCCCGCAAGTTCATCACGATTGCCACAAAATTAACCGGCATTTATTGGGTTCCCTGATTTCCTACGCGGTAGACGGGTTAAGGTGCCGTTCAGTCAGGTTCTCCTTGGCGACTTACTTGAGCTTGTATGAACCCTATTGCGGTTCTGCTGAGAAAAGGTGTGAGTTCTTCACTTAATCTTGTGAAATTCACTAGCTCAGGATAAAATTAGTGAGTAGCACTTCTAAAGGTATTATATTTTAGAATGCACAAGCTCACCTACTTGTCGATACACGCAATAGTTAACGGAAATAAAGCCTTACCAGCATTTTACTGAAAAGCTTTTGTCCTAAACGATCTTCCAAGTTTATTGCTCATAACTAATCGCAATCGCTAACAGAGCTGTAAGGACCGAAGTTTGAGTTCAGTCATCTTGCCTTGGGAGTAAATATTTGCGTAAATTTTATTCGCTTTGTGTAGACAGAGGAAAATCGTGAGAGGTTGTTCGAAGAACTGCGAAACTTAGAAGAGTCACGGAGGGCGAAGTATGCTAGCCTCAAACTGGCACAAACGCGCTTGGACGGCCGGCATAACCGCCCGGTCAACGAAAAGGTTGAAGACGCTGCTCATGCCGGCCTTCTTGATGAGGTCAATGGTATTGGTGACAGCATTGACGCTCTGGACGAACGAATTGACAAGTCCAGGTAATATGAGTGCAGAGTTCGAGTGACATATAACTTTAACTTTGTTTACCATATTCATCACAATTCTGTCATGAACCTAAGAATGATAAGAATTGTGGAAGGAGTACAGATGAGGCATAGCCCAAAGCAGCAAGGCGCGCGGGCAGGCTGTATTCGGCAAGGTATACGTGTGTGCTACTGTGGATTCGGTTATTTAAAGCATTTTTTGTGAAACAATCTACTTTAGTACGTCTGGAACCAGTCGTCCGATCCATATGTGCGAATTTTCTTTCAAACAAAAGGAGGACAAGAGCGAAATGTCTTACGATAACGGTTACAAAGATGAACCACGGACCATAGAGGACTGAGTCTAACTTTCGTTAAGGCTATTTAAGCGAATGAGAAGTGTGTCGCATGTGTGTTAGTTCATGTGTTACTTTCCTTACTTTACACATGTGACAACGTTGTGGTAGCAAAGTAGAAACAATTGAGCAGTTGTTTAATGCTATTAAGGGCCAGGATTCCACAACTTTCTAGGTGAGGTGATCAAGGGTAAAACTAGTTGTGTCAAAAAACAACGCCTGCCTGTGTGCTCAATAAAATTCCCCATATGTAACTCCTTTGCTTAAGTTACCGTGCAGACAGCACAACCATTCTTAGGCCATGTACTGTATGTGAAGGCAAATATCATCACGTTGAATGTTTAGTAGTCAACGGCTAGTGGATCTAATCATTATTGTGTTACACGCTAGGATTATAGGGAATTAATAGGACTGGTGAACCGTAAGCTTGAGTGTATCGGTTACATTTCTGACAACACACAAAGTTAAAACTGTTTTTAAGCTTACATGTGATCAGAGCACTAAAATTACAGTACTGAGTTTGTAATTCAGCACCGAAAGCAACTAGATAAGTATTGATGTCAGAGCTATAGTCAACACATCATAATTTTCCGCCCATCTTGAATGTCACTGGCCGTAATTCAAATTATTTGTTAATCGGGTTGCATTTCGTTGGATGGAGGTAGTAGTTTGTTTTGTCTATACGCTACGATAATGCCTTTTTATGGAAGCTATACTATGATGCGACGTGTTTTGATGCCGACTACTGCTTTGTTTGTTTTACAAGACACATGTTAGGGCGTCTGGAGGATCAATTATCAAGATTATGTCAAGAAACTGAAATGAAAAAGGAAGCCGTCCAAATTTACAGGGAATTAATGAATCTGCGCAAGAAGCTGGAAGTACCACCGAAAACGCGACATCCCTACTGTCCAATGCTTCCCAGAGGAATCGTACGTCAACCAGAAGTCGTATAAGCCATGTAAAACGGAGGCTGTGTCAATCGAATCCAGGCTGTCCGATTTGATGCTCATCAGTTAAAATACTTTCACAATTATCGTCGAAATGCTTCAATCTCATTTCGGCCGCAGTGGATTCACCCTTCCGCCTGGTGGTCCAGCCCAGTTTCAACAGAGCATTGCCATACTTTTGAAACAATTTATTTTGTTCTACAGATATTACAATAAACATACTAATGTATGTACCCTATGTATTCGATGCTGACTTAAGGTGATTTGTTTAAGTGAGGTTTAGTCGACAGCCTTAATTCGTTTGCAAACAGCGTTGAACAACATGACGATGAGCAACGAACTTCACGACGTAAGATTTGCATCTGAACATATTAGCGATACTCACCTACCTCGTAGCAGCATGGCAAATTCACTCAAAGAATTTGATCAGTTGGCTACTTTAACATATCACTGGGAGCCAAATGATTAAAAATATTACGTGCATCGACAAGCCTGTGTAGTCATCTAGGTGCGTCTGAATGTGCCGCTCCACTTACCGATGTTTTATGCATCAGGATGAAATATGTGCTCTAATCAACTAACACAGTACTGATGGTTACAATGCGTTCTACAGCAAGATAATGGTAGGCGTGTATCAATTGTTGTAGCACACTTAGGTGTTCCAGTATCGTATAAATATGCATCGAGTACAAACGCGAGGGCTCCGTTCCTTATCATGTTCAGCAAGGCCATTGATTGTACGTTACTTGCGTAATTTACACTTAGCAACGTACCAATTCTATTCGCCTTCTGCGATCACTCTGCTGCTAGTGTATTAGTATAAGGAATTAATAGAAAAGAATCGGCTTGCAATTGCGTCACATATTTGTTGACTCTTCACCCGTTTGACGTACGCTCTACTGTGACCACTTGTTCAAAGACACTGGAGTTGTGGCGTCACCTTGGGGGGGGGGGCAATTATAAACTACCTTGGGGCAAGGAACCCATTGGAAATTATTCACGTAAGTGAAAGATAGACAGGTCCTCACCTGACTAAACATTATAACATAGTTTCTTTTAGCCAACTCTAAGGAAAAACTACAGTACGAATAATCTGTCAGTTGCATCGTAATTATTATACCATCGTCCTTCAACGGTGTTAAAACTGCCCAGCGTAGAGAAAACGACCATGTAGTCCAACGAAGATTTTATTCATAAATTTTCGTGAATTCAGCATTGTTTGCGCATATTTTATTCCGTTTGAAAACTCCTGTTTTTCTGAGCCCATCAGCCAACTGATAAACGCAGATAACTTTCAACCTAGTCAAAGCACGACAATCACAACGCTCTTATAACTGAAAGCCAAACCGAAAAATAATTAGGGCGTTTAAAACCTGCTCTTAGGGGCTGTACAGAAAGGAAGTATTATATCCAGAAAGATTCGACCATCAATTCTGACTAGTCTCAACTATCGAACATGAGAAACTCGTTATCAGTGATAAAACCTCTGTGGTGTTGGACCGTCAACCACACCAGATAGCACAGAAACAGATAGGGATCTGTTTTTCTATACGTTAAAATTCAACAATTAGCTATTGCAGTTTATTAAGCGCCTCACTAACACCATCATGCGAGGTCAAGTGCCAAGAGTCCTGCCGAAGCCGACCTTCATCGAGCTACCTTACAAAAGTGACCACGTGATGCATGTCACTGAGAAACGGATAAAGACTTCTCACAAAACAACATACAATGTGGCGGAAATGCGGCTGCTCAACTTGACGGGACCTTCGCTTAGATGTATGATTAAGGCATACAGGTCTCCCTGTCTAGATAAACGTACCTGTAACTGTGAAGAGATCTACGTTGGGCGCACTAACAGAAGTATTTTCAACAACAATGAGCACATCCCCAAGTAGTTAGGCAACCGGATGAAGTCTGTGACGATGTAAGCATTAAACGTGTCCTATCTGCGGCATCAAGCATAGAAGATATGGGTGAGGCTGCCACTGCTCATCATCATCATTATTAATACACGTTAGCTGAAGGGAATAAACACACTTCAGCTAATCTACCGCAACAAGAGAAGAAAAGCTACATAAAAGAGCAAGACACCAAACATTACAGAATGCAAACTAGAACAGAAAGAGTACTACGATGTGTATTTTCACGTGTGCGAAAGTATTTGGAAGGGAAAATAAGTGGGATTGGGAAGGACGAAGAAACTCACAACGCAAACGCCACTGGGGCCCGTCCTTTTCCATATGGACAAGTGGATCCAGCCGTCGGTGTTCATCGTCCTTCGGACACCACCTCTGCAGTTGGAAGACAAACGGATGCTAAATTTAAGGTGTGCTATTTCATACCTTTTAATCAAGTCATGGCTTAGTCTCGTTCCTCTTCACTCATCCACATCCCAGTCGCGCAAATAGTGCATGCGAAGCGATTCGGTGTAGTAGCGCGCGCAGTACGTGACCTAGCCATCGGAGTCTGTTGGGTGGTAAAATGGTGCTAAGCGGTCTGTTGGCTCTTGCTGGGTCAAATACATGCGGTCGAACACGCTCGTTGCTTGCACCATGTTCCTATCAAGCCTGAGGTAAGTTGCATAGGTAGCGCTGCTCGAACATAATTAGCCACTTAACGCCCTTAGACTAGATGGGCGAGGTTTCCTATCGGAATTGTGCTGTTTACCGAGCGGTTGCCTTGTAAACTCTTCCCTTCGGAACGAGAGTGACGTCACGCCGGCGCCCTAAGCTGCGGAAATTTACAAAAGCGCCTCCTGCGATTGCTATGTGGTTTGTAACATTGACTATTCCATTTACGCTAATGTAGCTGGACAACTGCTTAAACATGCATGGCATTTTGTCCCCCACTTTCCACAAATTATCATCAACGTCCACTTCTATCTTCACTTTTGCATCCACTGTTTTCAAACCCTCATTAATTCTCTGCCCTCCCCCAGCTTGCTGCGATAGGTGTTTGCCTTCTTGTTTAGACTCACAGGCAACCTCAGAGAGTCACTCTGGTCAACTCGACAAGTCTATATTCAACCAAGCGGACAACATTAGTGCATCGGTTCCTAATTGGAGCTCACGAACCACGCTAAGTCTGGCATGCTTCTGCTTATGCAATTTGCTACAGATTGTCCGACAGGTAGCGCTTGCCTGAACACTAGAAATATGCTTGATGGATATCTGCTGTATGTCCGAAATATGCCTGCGTGTATCGAGCTCTGTGCACACTCGCTGTCGTCTGCCACACGCGACAATGGTGGTACTTTCTCGGCACATTTGTAGTAAAATGACGCTGCTTCACATACCAATGTGACCATTCCTTTGAGTGCCCGGGATAAAACTGACCTGATCGATTGGAGCCAAATGAACAGCCGTAGGTCTGCTGTACGCTTTGCTGGTTGTTTCAAAACCTCGAAGTCGTGCGAAGAAGACTGGTGCCTGTGTCTTACACTTCGACAAACGGTTGCACTGACCCGGTGAATGATTACTTCTGCCACCAACTGCACGATATCATTCAGTAGAGAAAAGTACGCGTACGGCGGTGCATACAGGTGATGTGAACGTTCAATTTGGGAAACTGAGAACTGATGAGCTGCATCTTGACAACTAACACAAGGTATGCTCCTCTAAAGATAGCGGTGAGCGATTGCTTCGGCTGTGGGAAGGTGCTGGTCTATCTCTGGCGAACACTACCAAAACATCACCCTTCAAAGAGTGACCAGGTGCCGATCAGTGTGGGAAGAGCCATAAACGCCAATCGATCAGATGGCTGTCAGTTACCTTTGGAGAGGCCACACCCAACTGTGTCGCATGATTTGGAGTACGAGCGAAGACTCCGACCGCGGATTTGCAAAGGGAACGAGAAGTGCTAGTCACCAACCTGGACTCTCATGGAGGGCTTTCAGAATGTTATAGCCATGTGTTTGCCCTCACGTGTCCAACGCCTACATGAGAGCTCATGTGCAGTGCGTGATACAAGCCTGGCTTCCTTGATAAATGCACGATGTTGATGCGCCTGAAGCTGCGCAACTTAGAGCAACCTAATACCTTAGGGTATATTTTCAACGCTTGTACTGGCGCAGACTGCGAGTCTTAAGGTGGTACAACAGTGAGCATAAATACGTAAATATATATCTGGTATGCTCCTCGATGATGCGAATTCAGTTCAATCAGGTGGTCTGATCAATGTGTACAGCAAGCCCCCATAAAACTGGCAGTTCTTCACGCCTCATACAAAGGATCCCAAACAGATTTTGAAATTAATTTGCAGGTTGATAATATTAGAGTAATTTTGAAACGGGAAGGAATAACCGAGTAAGATTTAACCAGTTGCTCAAGTAAATTAACGTGGCCATCACTGAAACTGTCCTCAGGGGATTTGCTTCCATGAAGAGCGTTTAATCGAAAGTTTTACCCGTACTTACATAACCTATCAAATCGTGTACCAATTTGGCAAAATAGCAAGTAATCCACCACCTGTTTAACTAATGTGTTTTATGCTACCGTTTTGTGCATACTTTGCCGGCCATGAAGCCTCAGCCCGTTCCTTCACGTGGATCATTCTATGAAAGCAACTTTTATTACGCACCAGTCAATGGCAATGCGCTTTCCGTAGGTATAACTTTATTTTAGCTTAGATATTTTACTCTGCAATCTCAGGAAGCAGCCAAGTAGTGATCAATAATAAAATAAAAAAGAAGATAAAATATAAAAAATTAAATATAGTAAGTATGATAACGGTAATACTATTAAATAAACAGCTCCATGTTTCACAGCTGCGCAAAAAGGAAGGAGAGACCATACGGTCAAATTGTGCAAAATGAAAACCGAAGACAAACAACTGCCCGAATTTTCCATAAGTAAAGTATTAAAAGAATCTAGAATCATGACAAGTAGCAGTTATTCGAACAGAATAGGATTCGATATCACAAAGAACTGAAATTTGCATAGGGGCCTAAACTGTTACCTCAGGAAAAGTATAGGAAATGGCCAGGGAATTACAGAACAAATGGTGCG